GGGTTCTGTACACAGATCAGCGATCTGGCTGTTTCTTCTCCCTGCAAAGCAGAAGAAAACAGCCGGATCTCATATGGCTGTGACCTGGCAGAGACCTGCTGATCAGCTGTAGCCAATCACAGCACAGAGTTCAGTGCTTGCAAACACACAGGGCTCTGTACACAGATCAGCGATCTGGCTGTTTCTTCTCCCTGCAAAGCAGAAGAAAACAGCCAGATCTCATATGGCTGTGACCTGGCAGAGACCTGCTGATCAGCTGTAGCCAATCACAGCACAGAGTTCAGTGTTTGCAAACACACAGGGCTCTGTACACAGATCAGCGATCTGGTTGTTTCTTCTGCCTGCAAAGCAAGGGAGAAAAACATTTTTTTTTTTAGTCAAAAAAAAATTCCAAAACGCTGGTTTTACCGCGTTTTGCTGCGTTTTTTCAGTCATGTTGGAGTGAGAAGAATAATTCTAGGGCCGTATTTCATGATTAACTCTTAACCACTTCCTGTCCGGCCCATGTATATAAACGGCCGGACAGTGGCAGTGCAGGGGCAGGTTGCCGTTCATAAACGGCATCCGCCATTTTGGCCTATGCGCGTTCCCTGTGCAGAAATGTAAGGAATCGCCCTGGCAGGCAAGTGGTTAAGCCCGGGGTCACATATCTGCGGTGCGGTATATCGCATGTGATTGGCACAGGAACCGTACCGCATTCCTGTGCCAATCACATGCGATTTGTGTGCGGTGCGATCGGAGCCATACATTTTGTATGGCTCCAGTCGCACTGCACCCGCAGCAGAAACGTGCAGGACCCTTTTTTTGGTTTGCACTAGAATCGGATTCACACCTATGCGATCCAATTCTTCACATCGCACTGCGTTTTGCGGACCACTTTCAGGGTGTTGTTAACATACACACCCGCAGGGGTTCACATGAACGGGGCGTCCCAAAGCAGGTGCAGGGGGGTGAGACCGCACACGGTGACACCGGACCCGCTCCATGAAAAGGTAAGTTGTAAAGCAAGCCGACGATCCCCGCAGGATGGATGGGATCTGCGGATTGGGGAGCATAATGGATCGGAGTCCGTTCCATTATGCTCAATCCGCAGATCCCATCCATCCTGCGGGGATCGTCGGCATGCAACCTATACGGGGTGACACTGGACCCGCTCCACGAAAAGTTAAGTTGTAAAGCAAGCCGACGATCCCCGCAGGATGGATGGGATCTGCGAATTGAGCATAATGGGTCAGAGTTCTGCGGGGATCGTCGGAGGGGGGTGTCACCAAGTGTTACCGCACTGGGTGACCAGGGGCGGACTGACAACTGATGGGGCCCCCGGGCAATAGGAAATCATGGGGTCCCTGTGTCCTCGCTCACACTCAAACCGCACCAAAAAAAAGCCTGTGAAAGGTACCAGAGGCATCACATGGGGCCCCCTACTGACCCCGGGCCCTCAGGCAGTGCCCGAGTTTCCAAATGGTCAGTCCGCCCCTGCGGGTGACACCAACTCTTCGCATCAGTGTGAACCAGGGCCAGGGGCGTCCCGAGGCAGGTGCGGCCCGCACCCGGTGACACTGACCCAGACCCACTCCACGAAAAGGTAAGTTGTAAACAGGGGCGGACTGACCAGTTGGAAACTCGGGCACTGCCCGAGGGCCCGGGGTCAGTAGGGGGCCCCATGAGATGCCCCTGGTACCTTTTTTTTTTAGGCTTTTTTGAGATTGGGCAAGGACACAGGGGCCCCATGATCCCCTATTGCCCGGGGGCCCCATGAGTTGTCAGTCCGCCCCTGGTTGTAAAGCAAGCCGACGATCCCCACAGGATGGATGGGATCTGCAGATTGGGAAGCATAAGGGATCGGACTCCGATCCCTTATGCTCCCCAATCCGCAGATCCGATCCATCCTGCAGAGAACGTCAGCAGGCAACCTATACGGGGTGACACCGACCCGCTCGCTCCACGAAAAAGTAAGTTGTAAAGAAAGCCGACGATCCCGCAGGATAGATGGGATCTGCGGATTGGGGAGCATAAGGGATCAGAGTCCGATCCATTATGCTCAATCCGCAGAACCAATCCATCCTGCGGGGATCATCAGAGGGGGTGTCACCAAGTGTGACCGCACCGGGTGACACCAACCCTAGGGACGCCCCTGACCAGGGCTGAAAGACAATGTTGATTTGGGGGAAGTGATGAAGAAGGGGGACGGCCGGGAATTCTATGGCAGAAGCGGAGTTCCCCTTTAAGGCTGGATATTTCCGTCTCTACACTGACATGTGGGAATAATGAAAATCAAGACGCGGAAAATCCTTCCTTGTCCCTGGTATTCATGAAATGTTATGTAACAACTTATAAATATCCGCTCTCTTCCCTCCGCTCCCGTATCGCCACGGCCTTGATCTTATCTGTACATCGCTGTACTTCCCAGAATCCTCCTCTTCTTCCCGCATCAGACCAGCGAATGAGCTTCTTTCCCTTTATGGAAAGTAAAAACTTTTCCCACTGACACCCCCCCACCCATTGCTCTCTGTCCCCCCCCTCCCTAGAGACATCCATCCTATCGGTCACAGAGGCTGTAGCGGTGCTCATTAACCTATAACCCCCCCAAGAGATTTTCAGCCTTGATACCAAATATTTTCTCAAGCTCACAAAAGAGGTTTTTTTTTTTTTCATAATCTGATAATTCCTTCCATCCACTTAATTGTTCCGCTCTTTTATCTTCATTGTTTATTTATGTGTTTTTGTTCTTTTTATGATTCTTTGGAAGTTATACTTTACCATCCCCCGACTCTCTATATCCTTTAACCACTTGCCTGCTGGGCACTTTCACCCCCTTCCTGCCCAGGCCAATTTTCAGCTTTCAGCGCTGTCGTACTTTGAATGACTATTGTGCAGTCGTGCTACAGTGTACTCAAATGACATTTTTATCAATTTGGAGACAAATAGAGCTTTCTTTTGGTGGTATTTAATCACCGCTGGGGTTTTTATATTTTGATAAACAAATGTAAAAAAGACCAAAAATTTTGAAAAAAAAAAAAAAAATTTTTTCTTAGTTCCTGTTATAAAGTTTTGTAAATAAGTGATTTTTCTTCTTCACTGATGGGAACTGATGAGGCAGCAATGATATGTGGTACTGATAGGCGGCACTATTATCCACACTGATCATCAGGGCACTGAGGATTCCCTCACCTACAGTGCTACAAAACCCTGGACCCTGCATTCACTATATCCGCTCTCATCCCCGGACCCCGCATTCACTATATCCGCTCTCCCCCGGACCCCGCATTCACTATATCCAGTCTCCCCGGACCCCGCATTCACTATATCCGCTCTCCCCGGACCCCGCATTCACTATATCCAGTCTCCACGGACCCTGCATTCACTATATCCCCCCTCCCCGGACCCTGCATTCACTATATCCTCTCTCCCCAGACCCTGCATTCACTATATCCAGTCTCCCCGGACCCTGCATTCACTATATCCGCTCTTCCCGGACCCTGCATTCACTATATCCGCTCTCCCCAGACCCCGCATTCACTATATCCAGCTCTCCCTGGACCCCGCATTCACTATATCCGCTCTCCCAGGACCCTGCATTCACTATATCCGCTCTCCCCGGACCCTGCATTCACTATATCCGCTCTCCCCGGACCCTGCATTCACTATATCCACTCTCCCCGGACCCTGCATTCACTATATCCAGTCTCCCCGGACCCTGCATTCACTATATCCAGTCTCCCCGGACCCTGCATTCACTATATCCAGTCTCCCCGGACCCTGCATTCACTATATCGCTGCTCTCCCCAGACCCCGCATTCACTATATCCAGTCTCCCCAGACCCCGCATTCACTATATCCGCTCTCCCCGGACCCCGCATTTACTATATCCGCTCTCCCCGGACCCTGCATTCATTATATCCGCTCTCCCCCCGGACCCTGCATTCACTATATCCGCTCTCCCCGGACCCTGCATTCACTATATCCGCTCTCCCCCGGACCCTGCATTCACTATATCCGCTCTCCCCGGACCCGCATTCACTATATCCGCTCTCCCCCCGGACCCTGCATTCACTATATCCGGTCTGCCCGGACCCTTGCATTCACTATATCCACACTCTCCCCGGACCCTGCATTCACTAAATGCGCTCTCCCCAGACCCTGCATTCACTATATCTGGTCTCCCCGGACCCCGCATTCACTATATCTGGTCTCCCCGGACCCTGCATTCACTATATCTGGTCTCCCCGGACCCCGCATTCACTATATCTGGTCTCCCCGGACCCTGCATTCACTATATCTGGTCTCCCCCAGACCCTGCATTCACTATATCCGCTCTCACCCGGACCCTGCATTCACTATATCCCTTCTCCCCGGACCCTGCATCACTATATCCGCTCTCCCCGGACCCTGCATTCACTATATCCGCTCTCCCCGGACCCTGCATTCACTATATCCGCTCTCCCCGGACCCTGCATTCACTATATCCAGTCTCCCCGGACCCTGCATTCACTATATCTGCTCTCCCCGACCCCGCATTCACTATATCCGGTCTCCCCGGACCCTGCATTCACTATATCTGCTCTCCTCGGACCCCGCATTTACTATATCCGGTCTCCCCGGACCCTGCATTCATTATATCCGCTCTCCCCGGACCCTGCATTCACTATATCCGCTCTCCCCGGACCCTGCATTCACTATATCCGCTCTCCCCGGACCCTGCATTCACTATATCCGCTCTCCCCGGACCCCGCATTCACTATATCCGCTCTCCCCGGACCCTGCATTCACTATATCCGGTCTGCCCGGACCCTGCATTCACTATATCCACTCTCCCCGGACCCTGCATTCACTATATGCGCTCTCCCCAGACCCTGCATTCACTATATCTGGTCTCCCCGGACCCCGCATTCACTATATCTGGTCTCCCCCCGGACCCTGCATTCACTATATCCGGTCTGCCCGGAGCCCCTGCATTCACTATATCCACTCTCCCCGGACCCTGCATTCACTATATCCGCTCTCCCCGGACCCTGCATTCACTATATCTGGTCTCCCCGGACCCTGCATTCACTATATCTGGTCTCCCCAGACCCTGCATTCACTATATCCGCTCTCCCCGGACCCTGCATTCACTATATCCGCTCTCTCCCCGGACCCTGCATTCACTATATCCGGTCTCCCCAGACCCTGCATTCACTATATCCGCTCTCCCCGGACCCTGCATTCACTATATCCGCTCTCCCCCGGACCCTGCATTCACTATATCCGCTCTCCCAGGACCCTGCATTCACTATATCCGCTCTCCCCAGACCCTGCATTCACTATATCCGCTCTCCCCGGACCCTGCATTCACTATATCCGCTCTCCCCGGACCCTGCATTCACTATATCCTGGTCTCCCCGGACCCTGCATTCACTATATCTGGTCTCCCCGGACCCTGCATTCACTATATCTGGTCTCCCCGGACCCCGCATTCACTATATCTGGTCTCCCACAGTACACACAACATGGAAATGCAATTATTTTAGTAAATATAAACTGGTAAATACCTTTTCTCATCAGCAGTATAGAGCAGTCTTGTGACTTCTATCAGTGTCCAGCAGAGCACTGGTTAAAGCTTTAAGAGGAGTTTTCTTTCTGCTCTAGGAGGATGCAGAACCACTGACCTCTGTCTGGATAGTGCTAATTGGCCCTGTGCTGATCACATGCACTCTCCCAAGAAAACAAATAAACAAAAACACCTCTCTAGCAAGACACACCAAGCTGAGCATGTGCAGGGTTTTCTTCATGATATGATATCAAAATTTTTTTGCCTTTCGGTTCTACTTTAGTACGTTGATTTCCTATGATCGTCAGCTGCATCTAGCGGCCATGATGTGTTTTTTTTTTTTTTTTTCCTGAAGCACCTACATCGGGAAAATACTGCTTTATGGCCACCAGATGGAGCTGACAATCATAGAAAATCACTCTATTTAGCCAAATACGTTCCAAATTTGCATCGGCTGGGCGAATACTTGTGTCATTCGTTGATAAATAGACCCCCATGTGTCTTATTGTACAGCATGGGGGCTAATTGGACTTATCTCAGCAGCCATTAAGCGGGGATGCCAATCGCATTATCTATAAGGGGGGTCTGCTAGAGAAATCATCTATAAATTTGTATGGAAATAAAATGATCAAACAATAAGTAATAATGTCAAAAGTATTAATATAGATTTACTGGGTATTAATATTGAACCCTGTGATTGTCCACAGTGCAGAGTTCAGGGGCCCCAATGCCCAGCGATCGGTTCCAGCAACAAGTGAAACTACATCAGAGGGGCCCACGCAGGAGAGTTCTGGATGGTCACAGGACGCTGATATTAGAAGTTTTTTACTTTTCAAAGTTTGTCCTGGAACACAGCATCCCTTGACTTTGTCCTTTGTGGTTTATGTCCTGACTCAATCCTCTCATCCCCCCCCCCCACCGGGGTACAATGGGGTCATTGAGGGTCCTGACATGACGTTCCTTGCACTAAGGGGACGGCGGGCCCCGAGTGACAATAATGGATTGTCTTCTCTTGTTGTGTCCCCAGATCTGGTCACCTCCAGTCCGACATACGTCCGTTCCTGGCAGGGGATGCTGTGAGAAGCCCGAGGGTTCAAAATACTGACTTTAATTTTTTCTTCTGAGTGAAAAGGTAACAATTTATTATTATTATTATTGTTATTAAGATTATTATTATTATTATTATTGTTGTTGTTGTTGTTGTTGTTGTTGTTGTGTCACTAGCAAATCAGAGTGGTACCGGACCAGGACGGATTGTGTGTGTGGAGGGAGGGTTACGGCCTTTCGTCAGTCTTGTGTCTTTAAATGGGGAGAATCAAGGTGGAGCAGTGATGCAGAGGTGGGGAGTCAGTGGGCAGTGAGTGGATTCAAACATGTTCAGAACAAACAGAGATCTATAATCAAAAAAAATTTAATAAACAAATAAAATAAATAATAATAATAATATTTAAATAAAGAGAAATTAAATTAAAATAAAAAAATAAAAATATATGAAGTGGGTCTTCAAAAAAAGATTCCGTATATATATAATGTACAGCGCTGAGCAAACCTTTTAGTGCTATGTAAATACTGTATAATAATAATAATATATATATATATATATATATCTCCTAGATTGTAAGCTCCCAGGATCAGGGCCCTCCTAACCCTCTTGTATTGAACTGTATTGTTGCTGTATTGTCTCCCGTTATATTGTAAAGCGCTGAGCAAACTATTGGTGCGATATAAATCCTGTATAATAATTATATAAATCCTGTATAATAATAATATAAATCCTGTATAATATAATAATAATTTTATATATATATTGTGTTAAAAAAGTTCAGAAACTTTTTGAAGAACCCTTGTATGTAAAATAAAATATGGTTAAATAAAAAAAAAGAACTGTTAAAAATTATTAAATTATTATTATATAGGATTTATATAGCGCCAACAGTTTGCGCAGTGCTTTAAATAAAAATTTTAAGAAAAAGGAATTAAAAAAAAAATGAATATATATATATATATATATAATTCAATTTTAAAAAAAAAGAAATAAAACATAATTAAATAAACACATTCTGGGAACTATATATATATATATATATATATATATATATATATATATACACACACATATATATATATATATACACATATACGGTATATATATATATATATATATATAAATATATATATAAAATACTGTATATGTTTAATAAAGTGCAGAAACTTTTTGAAGAAGCCTTGTATATAAAATAACATGTGGTTATATATAAAAATCATTAAGTAATGAAAAAATATTATTATTATATAGGATTTATATAGCGCCAACAGTTTGCGCAGTGCTTTAAATAAAAAAATATTAAGAAAAAAGAATTGAAAAAAAATAAATGATATATATAAATATATATATATATATATAAAAATTCATTCAAAAAAAGAAATAAAACATGATTAAATAAAACACATTCTGGGAACAATATATATATATATGTTTAAAAAAGTGCAGAAACTTTTTGAAGAACCCTTGTATATAAAATAAAATGATGAGGTTATGTATAAAAATCATTAAGTAATGAAAAATTATATTATTATATAGGATTTATATAGCGCCAACAGTTTGCGCAGTGCTTTAAATAAAACATATTACGAAAAAAGAATTTAAAAAAAATAAATTATATATATATAATATATATATATATTATAAATTCAATTTAAAAAAAAAAAAATAAAACATAATTAAAAAAAACACATTCTGGGAACAATATATATATATATATATATATATATATATATATAATATGTGTTTAAAAAAGTGCAGAAACCTTTTGAAGAACCCTTGTATATAAAAAAAAAAAACGTGATTATATATAAAAAAATCATTAAGTAATGAAAAATGATTATTATTATATAAGATTGATATAGCGCCAACAGTTTGCGCAGTGCTTAAAATAAAAAATATTAAGAAAAAAGAATTAAAAATAAATAAATAAATAAATAAATATCTATATATATATCTATATATATATATAAAAATTCAATTTAAAAAAAGAAATAAAACATAATTAAATAAAACACATTCTAGGAACAATATATATATATATATATGATTAAAAAAGTGCAGAAACTTTTTGAAGAACCCTTGTATATAAAAATAACATGAGGTTATATATAAAAATAATTAAGTAATGAAAAATTATTATTATTATTATATAGGATTTATATAGCGCCAACAGTTTGCGCAGCGCTTTAAATAATAAAAAAAAAAAAGAAAAAAAATAAAAGAAAAATAAATAAATTAAAAAAAAAATATATATATATATATATATATAAAAAGAAATAAAAGTGCAGAAACTTTTTTGAAGAACCCTTGTATATAAAATATGGGTGTACATAGAATATGGGAGTACATAGATCACCCAGAAGGGAGGGGTTTTTTTTTCTTATCAAAGGTGGAGTTATTCTTTACATCTTTATGCGTTTTCCATTAATTCTAAATATGTCACGGCCTTGAAAATCTTGTCTTGGGAATTCTCAAGGGTGGCCAGAGGAGGTCTACAAGTCCTTGGCCAACCCTAGACAGCTGCCTTTACTGCCTTCCCTTTCCTCTGCGCTGAACTTCTTTGAACATGAACGTCTTCACACACCTTGCCGGGATGGTTCCGTTCCTTTGCGCCTTCCAGAGTATTGTGAACAAAGAGATCGGGACATATCGTGAAGGCCGTTGGGTTCCTGTTATTGCATTCTATATTTAGGCCATCCGCTATATTTAGGTCATGCAGCTCCTGGGGATGAAGGCAACGAGGAGAACGAATAGTTCTGGAGATGTTAGAGAAGCAGAGTCCTGGTAACCGGCAGACAATACTTCTGTCTGTAGCTGCGCAGTGTGTCTGCGATTCCTCACACAACAGCTGCTGAGCACGATGAAGGCCATTCGCCTAGTATGCTCCATTGTAGTCCACCGTGATGTCCTCGGTCCTCGTCGTTTCTGGCCACAGACAGGGAAATAAAAGGTATCCCGGGAAAATATGAAATATTTGCTTGCCTTGTCAATGGTGTCCAAATGAAGCTGACCAGGTTTACCCTGAATCTGCTATTAATGGCCTGGGTGCCCAACTGAATCTGACCAGGTCATACTCAGATCTGCTATGTAGTGACTGGGTGATGAAAGCTTCATTCCCTTTTCTATGGATAAAAATACACTTTCTACTATTGGTTGTGGAGAATTTTCACAATTCTGGAAACTCCTGCAGCAGAATGGAAATTATGAAGCAATATGAGAAGAGTTTACAAATGGCAGAGACTGAAGGCACTCCAGGCCTAAAAAGTTGAAATGTGAGAAATGGCTTCTAGGGTTCAACGGTGAAATGGTAGCGCTGGCTTCTAGGGTTCAATGGTGAAATGATAGCGGTGGCTTCTAGGGTTCAATGGTGAAATGGTAGTTGTGGCTTCTAGGGTTCAATGGTGAAATGGTAGCGGTGGCTTCTAGGGTTCAATGGTGAAATGGTAGAGGTGACCTCTAGGGTTCAACGGTGAAATAGTAGCGGTGGCTTCTAGGGTTCAATGGTGAAATGGTAGAGGTGGCTTTGAGGGTTCATTGGTGAAATGGTAGAGGCGGGTTCTAGGGTTTAATAGTGAAATGGTAACGGTGGCTTCTAGGATTTAATGGTGAAATGGCAGAAGTGGCTTCCAAGTCTCAATGGTGAAATAGTAGAGGTGGCTTCTAGGGTTCAATAGTAAAATAACAGAGGTGGTTTCCAGATCTCAATGGTGAAGTAGTAGAGGTGGTTTCTAGGGTTCAATGGTAGAGGTGGCTTCCAGGGTTCAATTGTGAAATGGTAAAGGTGGATTCTAGGGTTCAATAGTAAAATGCCAGAGGTGGCTTCTATGGTTCAATGGTTAAATGGTAGAGATGGCTTCCAGGGTTCAATGGTGAAATGCTAGTGGTTGCTTCCAGGGTTCAATGGTGAAATGGCAGAGGTGGCTTCT